GGGAAAGAGAACCAACTCCTGTCCTCTGACCTTCACCCAAGCACCACAGTATGCTCATATCCATGCTCATAGATATCACACCCATTTTTTTTTTTTAAAGAAACAAGCAATTCATCTTTCTATGACTACATATTTCTTACTCTGCTGTGTGGTAAGAGTGAAACAATGCACATGAAAAGTGCTTTATAAGTTACAAGAGAGTGATGTCAGATGTCTTCTCCATGTCAGTTACCTGGCAGTACTTAGATACAGCTTTACGTTTGTTTAAAAAAACTGGTGTGGGGCTGGAAAGATGGCTCAGAGGTTAAGAGCACTGACTGCTCTTCCAGAGGTCCTGAGTTCAATTCCCAGCAACCACATGGTGGCTCAGAACCATCTGTAATGAGATCTGGCACCCTCCTCTGTATACATAATAAATAAATAAATCTTAGAAAAAAAAAAAGAAATTAAAGATGCTATTGTATGAATCGTTTAAAAAAAAAAAAAAAAAAAAAAACTGGTGTGCCACTTTCCACTTCCAGGAAGGACTAGAGAAAAGCCTGCCCAAAGTCAATGGACCAAATTCAGTCAGCAAGCCCATCTATTAGGTTAACTAACCTGCCACAACTTATGATTCCTGGGAATTTAGTAAAGAACAAAACACAAGATTATGTTAAAGGATTAAGAGGCACATTCAATATACAGCTGTGCAAATGAATAATATACCATCATGTACTTAAAATTACTATGAATTGAAATAAAGCAGGAAAGAGGCTAGTGGATGAAGTGGGGTGCTATTTTTGAAAGGTGCAAAGGTGGTCCAGATAGATTTGTTGGGAAGTAAGCAGATGTCTCAGGTGAAGAATAACCGAAGGCAGTATAGGAAACAAAGATCTCTGGCTCTGAACAGTCAAGGACAGAAAAAAAAGACACATTCTAGAAGATTCCACCGAGCTCCCAAACAGGCCCGAGAAGAAATGGTGAGTGGGGGAGGAATGATACTACAAACCAAGCCCATATGTGTGCTGAGGAGGGAGTGTGAGTCGTTACGGGGCTTTGACCAGAATTAGTGAAAGCAAAATAACTTTGTCGAAAATATGGGAAGGGTGTGTGTGGGAGATCAAATTCTGAAACTCAGCTCAATGTAGGATGGTGGAGAAGGAAAAGAGGAAAGGCTTAGGGTGGAGAGGAGGAAAATGCCTGAACCTTGCTTTATCAGTACCTTCCTCTTACGGAGGGGAACCGCCTTGTTGGGGTCCATGGCCAACCCCATCTCCGCCAGGTTCTGCCGCACGGATTTGGTGTGGTCCCAGGCATGTCGGATGTGGGAGCTAACGGCAAAGAAAGAGAGACCGAGATTCTGTCACCTCGCCGTCGATCCTGCCAGCCGAGGCCCCTGCCTCCGAACTGGCCCCTCACCACTCGATCCGTGGCGCTGCCTTCCGACGAGCATTCCGGTTCAAACGCTTTCGGTTGACATTGTAACCGAACTTCTGCCTCCTGGTCTTTCCCTTGGCCTTGGGCATCGCGCAGTCGGCCGCACCAGAAGCTCAAACTCCGAAGCAGCAGCACAAACTCTGGAGCACACTCTCGGAGCCGCGTGTTAACACGCTCCGTCCCCCAGCGCGCGCAGGGATTCCCGGGAAATGTAGTCTTTTTAGTGGCGCCGCCACATGGATTTACTACAACTCCTAGAATGCACCTGGCAGTGGCGCCTGCGTACTACCCTCAGCAGGCTATTCCCCCGCCCTCGTGGTGACCTCATCAGAAGGCGGAGTTCGGTGTCCGGATTTTTGTCCTACCTGTTCCTGTGCCGGCGGGTATGGCGGCTCCCGGTCCTGTGAATCCAGAGGCGCCATTCGATCCGTCCAAGACCCCAGTCATCGAGGGCTTCAGCCCCACGGTGTACAGCAACTCAGAGAGCTTCAAGGAGAAATTTATTCGCAAGACCCGTGAGAACCCAATGGTCCCCATAGGTAAGTGTGTGCTTTAGGAACGGAAGACCGAGGCGATAGTGGTTTCCTGGGGGAATGAAATAGGGAAGGACCAGGTACGCTTTGGGTATGGGAAGGGGAGCGGACCGAGATGTGACGAGAGGATGGGGCGGGGAGGACTAAAACGGATCGGAACGTGTTGCGGGGCTTGATGAAACCAACTCTAGAACAACCCGCTCCCGCCCTCCTGTTGTCGTCTCTAAATAGTGGCTCTGGGAAAGCGGGGGCGGGCTACATCCTCAAGGAACCTGCGGGACCCAACCTGTTGCCCCTGTGTGTGTTGTCCTCCCCCCAGGCTGTCTGGGTACGGCGGCTGCCCTCTCCTATGGCCTTTACTGCTTCCACCGCGGCCAGAGCCATCGCTCCCAGATAATGATGCGCACCCGGATCGCTGCCCAGGGTTTCACGGTCGTAGCCATCTTGTTGGGATTAGCGGCCTCTGCTATGAAGTCTCGACCCTGAGTGTATGGTCGGGCCCTGAAAGCTCCATGGAAATCATTATAAAACCCAGGAGCAACAAACAGCCCTGTCAGATTTATCCCGTCCTTTTCTGACAGTACCCTATTGTCATTTGGGTGAGGGAGTGGCTGGTTTTTGTGACTGATTTCTGCCTCCTCTCCATCCCCTCCCGAAATCCCAGGTTCACTTCAGTTGGGTTGCATACTAAAAATTTGTGATGCGTCCCCTTAACTACTTACTTAATAAAAACTTAATACACTTGTAATGTGATGAATTCTTTCTTAATCTCACTCCCATGGTTAAAACCATGATTTTTGGTCTATGGTTTTTTTGTTTTGTTTTTTTCGAGACAGGGATTTTCCGTGTAGTTTTGGTACCTGTCCTGGATCTCGCGCTGTAGACCAGGCTGGCTTCGAACTCACAGAGATCCACCTGGCTCTGCCTCCCGAGTACTGGGAAAAAAGGCGTGCGCCACCGCCGCCTGGCCTGGTCTATGTTTTTAGGAAAGAACAGGATATTGGTAGGATTGGCCTCTAGAAATCAGCGCGGCCTGATAGTACCTATAGCCTCAACTATTCTGAAGGTTGAGGGAGAAGAATCTTGCCTGTGAGTAAATTCAAGAGTTCAAGGTCAGCTAGTAGAGTAACTTAGTGAGACCCTATATCAAAATTTAAAATGGCCTGGAGCTACAGCTCTGGTACAGAATGTGGTCCTTGTGAGGCCCTAGGTTCAATCTCCAGTTGTGAGAGAGGAACACTGAGCCTAGTGCCACTCAAACATTCCTGGTAACAGTCAAATCACATGGCCACAAGTTAAAAGGAGAGATTCCCAAATGTCCATCCTTGGGATTCTAGTTTAGTGAGCCAAAATTGGTTTGGTGGAATAGGGGGAACTTTGCCAGCAACTTTCAAGTTTCTATAGCCTTTGGATAAGGGCTGTCATAGTCCTGTTGGATGGAGTCGGTATTCAACACTCAGACCACCACCATTCTCTGTCTACTTCTTACTCCAGTTCTGCCTCCTTTGAGACCCTCAGGCTCTGCCCATCTGTATCATCCAGCTTTTGACACTGAGTCTCAACAGGCATTTGTGGCCTGTGGTCATCAAAGTGTTGACTTGAGGAGCTGAACTCCTCCGGTGTGTGACTCTGACCCTCTCAACACCTGCTTCAAGCTGGGAAAAGGAAAGAAAATGAAGATCCATTTCTTGTGCCTGCCATGTCTTAGATCTCTGAGTGGAAGGTCCATGACTAGAGCCAGGTGTTTGTACCTCCATCATGATCTTAGCTGTGAAGCAGAATACAGTGATGAACACTGCATCCTAAAGCCCACCAGATGCAAGGACAGGGCATAAAGAGCTGAAGATGTCGCCACTTTTAAAGGTCATGTCCACTGTGTTAGTGTTTTGATGCCCACCCCTAAAATATATTTGAGAGTTGAATTCCAACTCTCAATTCTTTAGGTATTATTTTGGCAATAGGGACTTTATATCCATTAATAGTTAAAATACAGTCTTTAAGATGGGCTTTAATCCTAGCCGGGCGGTGGTGGCGCACGCCTTTAATCCCAGCACTCGGGAGGCAGAGCCAGGCGGATCTCTGTGAGTTCGAGGCCAGCCTGGGCT